GTATGGGGTAACTCCATGGACAGTAAGAGAGTGGAGGTGAAAAGGGTTCTTATCAGGTAGGAGTTGATTTGCTGAGAAAATGGTGGGGTTCATGACAGCTGTTTTCTTTATGCCTGCTCTTTCTTGCCTTGAATGCAGCTAGAGGTAATAAAATAGAAAAAGTAACTGTGGCCGTTGTAAGTTTTAAAATTCACTTTTATGGATAGCATTTTAGTTTGAAGTCAAGCCTAATCATCTGCTTTTAAATGATTAAAGTGACTTTGGATACCATGATTATGTGGCCTGTTTACTTCATTTTGTTTTGTTTTTGGTAATCCTCACCCTGGCATATTTTTTCCATTGATTTTTAGAGAGAGTGGAATGTGTGGTGAGAAACATCTATGTGTGAGAGAGAGAGAAACACATCAACTGGTTGCCTACTGAGCTTGCCCTGACTGGGCCAGGAATCGAGCCCACAACGGAGGTATGTGCCCTTGACCGGAATCAAATCCTTGACCCCTCCATCCTAAGGCCAACCCTCTAATCATTGAGCCACTGGCTAGGGTGTGTTTGCTTCATTTTACATATGAGAAGGCAGGGCTAATAAGGTTAACTACTTTGCCTGAGAACAGCAGGATTCAGTCCAGATTTTTTGACTCCTATTTGGGTCTGCTGTTTGCCATTTAATTATGCTTGTTGTAGGTGAATTGGCCCATGTGGAAATGGATCAGTCTTGGCACATGTCTTAATATATAAAATAAATGTCAGTATCTATTGTATCATAGGATGGAATTCTTTTGCTTAAAGCACACTACTGTTTCCTTTTACACTCTAATCCCAGTCTTGTTGATCTCTTTCCCTCCTCAGTGTTGGTGTATTTATTAACTTTAGAGGGAGGGACGGGGGAGAGAGGGAGGGAGGGAAGGAAACATCGTTTTGCTGTTCCACTTATTTATGCACTAATTGGTTGTTTCTTATATCTTGTATGTGCTCTGACCGGGAATCGAACCCTCAACTTGGTTGTATCGGATGACACACTAATTAACTGAACTACCCAGCCAGGGCTACTCCTTGGTGGTGTTTTAATGATATTTTATTATACTTAAAATTTTAAACATTGTATTAGCTATTTAATGGCTGCTACATGATATTCTCTTCTATAATTAGCTTTCTTGTTTTTAGTTTGGGCAGTTTAAATAGCAGCTACCACTTCTAAGTGTGTGGGGTGACTACTGGGCTTTGATTAGAATTCCCTGGTCTCTGTGTCTGTATCATGAAACCTGAGTCATTGTACATACACATGATTATAGAGCCAGGACTGCTAAGGGGCTGGAAAGTCCCTTAATGAGACGCCTGTGTGCATGAATGTAAGATGTGAGATTATTTTACTGAAGCCTCTGCCTTGAAAATCCCACACTTGCTTGCATATAGTATAAGTCAGTGATTTTCAAAATTTTGCCTGTTCCTTTTCTTCAGACAGTTTTATATTGAGATTTGAAGTTTGGAATAGTTCATGAAAAGCCGCTGTGATCCACCCTGCTCCTCACTAAGCAGTGAGTCCCATGGAACACACTTTAAAAGCATTGTCCTAACTCATTGCAGGTCAATGTAGTTTTTGTTGTTGCTTATTGTATCTTAAGTCTTTTTAGCATGGAAACCTGCCTCCCTCCTGTGGTTAGGTTCTCATGGCTCTGTTGTGAGTGGAGAGTGTCATCTCCATTGTTCCAGTTCATACCCCTTCTAGTGGGAGTGACTGATGCTCAGTAGAATTTTTCCTTTATTTTTAAGCTCCCAAATTCTGATCTGTTAGCACATCTGTCATATACTCAGAGGCTCCAAAGATCTCATACTTCATATGGGCTAAAACTTTGTTTCTAATTATATTCAATGTAAATATCAGAGTGCTTATTAAAACTCAAATAAAACTTGATTGCAACATTATCTCTCATGATATTTTCATTTTCCTGTGGTTTTGTGTCTTGCTTCAATTTATTCTTTATAGGAAATGTGCATGACTCTAGTTTCTGGTGTAGATTTGGCTTTTTAAAAAATTTAATCTTGGTGTCATTTACATCTTTCTCTCACAGCACTACAGAATTCTTCTAATATTATTTTTATTTGGCTAACTAGCCAACACACACATTTCAGACTACACCCCACTGACTTGTTGTAGGTAACATTTTATTAGAAAATGTATTCTCAGTCCTTAGGAGCTAAAAAATGATTAGCTCCCCCCCCCAAACCCCCCCAAAAAAGAATGAATAGCCTAACTTTCAGTATCTGTGTAAGGGCAAGAAATCTTATACATATTTTTATACCTGTTTATTTCCTTTTCTTAGCTCATAGTGTCTTAGTGAATGGTTGGGAAGTTTAGTGGGCGTGGGGCAAAGGGAATTTTAATTTTGGTGCATAAAGATGATTTTTGTTTAATGGCAGAATGGGCAAAAGCAGCTCAGTTTTTCCTTAGCACATCATTAGATCCTTTTTTGCTTTAAATCCACTTTTGAATAAGGAAGAAGACAGAAGCCTGAATCCATGGGTGGGTGTGTAGACCAGTGTTAGATACTGTTTCTGTAATACAGGGTAACAGAGACATTGACTGGAACCATAAACACATTTGATGTGCAGAATTGTTTCATATAAAGAAAGTGCTGATACTATAAGCTAGAAGAAAAAGTTCAGAATAGCAATTATGTAGTGATAATTTTGTTGTATATTCATTTTTGTAAAATTTCCCCAAGTCTGGTTATAACTGTCAGTGTAAAGTCATTGTCAGCTGATAGAAATAGGAAATGATTTCAAGAACTATTAGATACAAAGTTCTGTTTTAGAGATAACTTCAGTGGGGCTGGGCTATAGGACAAAGCAAGAATTAAGACTCCTCAAATTAAAAAAAAAAAAAAATTAAGACTCCTCAAAGAAGCCTGGCTGATGTGGCTCAGTGGTTGAGCGCCCACTCTCTACTTATCCCTTAGTTACAGCTATATGTAAGGAAAAGTTGGAGGCTAAGGTTAGGATTCTACTTCACGTATTAAGTACCTCTACATCTGGCGTGGGGGAAGCAGGTGAAATACATAATATTATAAGAAGAGCGATCCATAGGCAGTTGAGACCAACTGTTAAAGGAAGCAAAAATTTTGATAAAGAATAGTAAATTAAGGGGGGTGGGGGCGGACTGGAGGGGGTTAATGGAGAAAAAAGCGGGACATATGTAATACTTTTAACAGTAAAGATTTATAAAATAAAATAAAACAATAATATAAACAGCTTATAAAAAAAGAATAGTAATTTAATACATGACCTAATTTTAGGATTTTGATTCTGATATTTGGATGAAATCTTTAAACTTGATAAAAGTAAATTAAAAAATAAAACAAAAGTAACTTAGCCTGATAATAAGTATTTAGGTAAATGAAAATTGAAATGTCTCTGGTATGTTCTTTCCCATCATAATGTAGTCCTTATAGCATTTGGATACAGTAGGTGCTTTAGGTAGAATTACTAGATACATATTGATATAATTACATAAAGGACATATAGACTAACATTTTGTAGTTCATTTTTAGCATATATCATCACCTTTTCCTATGTTCAGAGTTGACTCAGTATTTTAAATTATTTTTTTGTTAGCTAATTCAGTCATTTCTTACATGTTTTGTAGTGTCCTTTGAGAAAATTAGATGTCAAGCTCTTGGATTTATGACATAATAAAGTATATTTAGTCTGTTACTTATTAATTTTTTTCTAAATAATTAAAATATGACTTTCTTAGTATTCATTTTAGGTTTAAAGCCAGAAATGTTTGTAGAAACATTTTCTGATACTTAAAGACCTGTTGTAAAATTTGGATGTTAGCATAAGTACAGTATATTGGTTGGCTATTTTAAATTGAAAATATTTTAAATGGTATAGTAACCATATATAATTTAATTTATTTTAATAATTTAGTAATTAATTTATTAAAAAATCAGATTTTAAGACGGCAATCAAATTAGTTTTAGTTATGCAGAACAAAAGAATAGTTGTTTGGGAGTGTCAGTTAATGTGCTAGTACTACCCAGTATTATAATAATACTGGTGTTACTCTGATTTTTACTGGTTATGTTTAGTAGGTAATGAACATTTGGAAGAGGATATTACAAATAGCCTCTGCCCTCATAGAGTTCATATCCTCAAATGGCCTTGTCTCAGTCACTCTTCCATTAAAATAGTATAAATTCTTTATTACTCTTAAAGTTGAGGTCCTTCATTTTGATTTTGTCCCTTTTTTTTTATCCTCACCCACAGAGAGAATATTTTTTCCATTGATTTTTTTTTTTTTTTTTAGAGAGAGTGGAAGGGAGAGGTTTGGGTGGAAGGGAGAGGTTTGGGGAAGGGGAGGTAGGAAGGGGATGTCAATGTGAGAGAGACACATGGATGGGCTGCCTCCTGCACATGCCCACCTGGAGGCAGGGAGCAAACCTGCAACTCAGGTAAGTGCCCTTAACCGGAAATCGTACCGGGAGATCCTTGGTGCGTAGGCTGACACTCTAACCACTGAGCCATGCCGGCCAGGGCTCTTTTAGAATTTTTCACATTTAATAGACCTAACATGAATTGTGGAAATTGGGAATCCTTATCTAATTTACTTATTCTGGGAAAACTTAATATGTGAGATGGGATTTGAGAAAGTATTGATGATTGTACAATTATTTGAGGGGAAATTGTGGTCAATGTTAAAGTCAAGATAAAAATATTAGCTAGTCCAACTCATGCTTTTCTCATCTTACTCTGTAGTTGTTGTTGTTTTGCCTCATATAGGATTGTTGGCTACTGATTTTTAAAATCTCAGATGTGTGTCTTTTCATGGATGGAATGTCATTCTTCAAAGTGTATTAGAATCACAAACACAGAGGGAGAGGACTAATAGGAAAGATGGCTTGCTCGTGAAATACTCCCATCATTAAGAACATTGCTTTTTCATGGAAAGCTCATTTCCCCCAACTATTGAACTCTTACGTTGCTATTACTTTTTGTTGCAGCATCAAAGCTGGACGACTCCTGTCCTACATTCCCTATCAGCTGTACAGCAAGCAGTCCACTGTGCAGAAAAGTCTCAACTTCAATCCTGTGTGCAAACCTGAGGACCCGGTGCCTGGTCCAAGCAATGGAGCCAAACAGCTTAACAACAGGGTGTAAGTTTATCTAGGGTGGTAACGCTGCAAAGCTTGCTTTTAGCACTGGGTGTGGTTCCTGCTCTGCTGAAGATAGAAATAGCTGTATAACCTGGCCATTCACCTATGCTACACATGCAGAAATAGGTGTGTGGGTGTCTTACCAAGAAATTGTTTTTATCATGAAAGTTTCATAAATAAAATGTAAACAGGAAAGGTTTTTCAGTTGTTTTAAATTCCCATGTTAAACTAATGGATCTTAAATTATTAGAAGTAAAATTTTCTATAGATTTTTCTGAATTTAATTATTTCCTTACAAGAAATTTGCTAAGAATGTTGCTTTCTCAAAAACTGAATTAACTATGCCAGTTATACTTTTGTTATGTGTGATGCATAGAAAGCCAATTAACAAAAATGTTAATATTTCCAGGTTATTTTTGAAAAATTCCAAATTTATAACAGTTCTAAATATGTAAATATTTAATATTAATAAAAATTTAGTTGGTGACCCTAAATGTTATAGAGTTAAAAGGTGAATCTAGAGTTTATCCCATGTGACTGATTTTTACACATATATTGGTTTAAGCTTTAATTGCAATAATCCTGGGTAAGTTGATTTTAAATTAATTGGTGTGTTACCTTAACTTGTATATCAGGTGGTTCATTATTACCATCAGCCTTCTCCTTATTTATTAAGTTGCTTGCTTTGGGAATTGGATATATCTTTTCTCAAAGACCAGGAATCTAACCTGGGAGTATCCAATATCACTGCCTTCTGTAGTTTTTGTTGTTATTTAACATGTATTCATTTATAAGCATATTCAGATGTTTTCACGTTACCTAAAACTTTTAATTTTTTTAGTACTATGAAGGTGTACAAGTAATACCAGAAAACATTTGAATACATAACTTCATATTTTTTTCTCACACTAATAAAAGTAGAAAAATAGATACAGTAGTTCCCCCTTATTCACAGGGGATTATGTTCCAAGACTCCCAGTAGATGACTGAAACCGTGGATAGTACAAATATCATATATACAATGTTTTTTCCCGTGCATACACACGTATGATAAAAGTTTAATTTATAAATTAGGCACAGTAAGAGATTGACAATAATAACTAAATGTAAAATAGAACAGTTATAATAATAAACTGTAGTAAAAGTTAAATGAATAAAGTCTCTCTAAAATACCTTATTGTACTGTACACACCCTGCTTATGATATGAGATGATAAAATGCCTCAGTAATGAGGCTACTCAGGAAGGTGCACAATTTAAAACTTACGAATTCTTTCTGGAATTGTATATCTCATATTTTCAGACCACAGCTGATTGCAGGTAACTGAAACTGCGGAAAGTGAAACTGTAGATAAGGGGGCCTGTATGTGTTTTTTGAAATTCTTTGTGTCAATTTTAGGAAAAATTTACCTATTAGATTTTACTTCTTAATACTTTTACACTATTGCCTACTAAATGTATCTTTACTGATTATATATTTCCTGTATAGCTACTTTGTAAATATCCACTTGTCTAGACTGAAAAACAAAAAGAATGTGTATTTGCAAGGTGTTTTCTGCTAATATATGCATTTTTGTTGCATGTGTTGCTAGTAAACATATGAAGAATCTTATTTGTGACACAGAAAAATAGATGTTAAGACTTTTCTAACTTCACTTTTGTTACTTACTATAATCTTTGTTTTTCGGTATGTTCAATACATTTTACAAATTTCTTTGTAATTCTTTTGTGTGACATTTTGCTCCATAGCTTTCTCTTTATCTCAAAGGCAGACTTTCTCTGACATGTAACAAAATTAGACTTTCTTTCCTTCCTCTTTTAATTGTTTTCAGTTGGTTTTCTTTTCCCCTTGCCACTGGCATGATCATTTGTGAGGTTGGACGTACTCAGAGTTGGCTGTCCTATTCCATGAGATGATCAGCCTGAGCCTGAACCAACCCAGAAATGGGTGGTAATGTTCTGATGCATGTGGTTTTTCTGTGTCTTCAGACTGTTATTACTGATATACCATGTTGGTATTAGGATGAGGGACTTTAGATTAAAACTGGTAATTCTGTGGTAATCTCACCTATGACTATGGCTCCCTCATCGGAAATCTGAAATGTAATTAGATTAACACTTTGGTTGTTTCTAAGAATGAATTATTGCTCCATAATTCAGGTTTTTGGGTTTTTTTACTTAGGTGATTCTTGAATGCAAATGAATTTTGTCTTTATAGAGCATTATCAAGCAAACATTAGAGGAGCCAGGATGTAAATTTAGCGTAACATTTGTCATTGGTCCTGCATTTATAAACTTGTTATCAGGAGACTTGGTCCAGATTACCTTGGACCACCTTGGTATCTAAATATGCTTTTTTATAAATGAAATGCCATTTTCCTCATTACTAGGGCAAGTGTCCTCATTTTTCTAGGTATAAATCTTACTGAGCTAGCCATGCACATTGACCTGGTTCTTTCTTTTTTATCCATTTGTACAACAGTTGGCCCCATTAATGGATTAATGAATATGGTCTGTCAGGCTTGTCCTCAGTGGAACTAATACTGTCCTCAGTGTTGTAGCATATTGGATTTAATTTGCTGAAAAAATGCCTTACATAAAACTGGAATTAAAAGGAGGAATTAAGAACTCAAACTTTCTTACCTATTTTATGGGAGTTATTCATATTGCAATAATTTAGGGAATATTTATTGACTGCCTAGTACATGCCAGACACTGTTACAAACTGGGTATTTAGAGCTTACAGATTCCAGTTAATTTTTGATAGGAAGAGTAGTTGAAAATAGTTTTTTGGATTTTTCTTAACCTTATAAGAATCCATTGTATGTCTTCTTTGGTGGTGTCTAAAGCTTAATAAAAACTAAAAGGCTGTGAATGTTCTAGATTTTTCCTAGTTTTCTTGCTACTTTGGTTTAGCAAAAAATATCGTTTGTTGGAAGAAAAAGAATATAAAACTTGTGGCTTAATTTTTCAGTTTTTGGAGTGGGGGTGGGAGGTATCAAAGTGTGTATCACCAAGACAATGTTTAAATGAAAAATTATTTTAGCTTGAAAGTAAGACATTATTAATTTAAGAACACTTTTTCCCTGCTTTAGAAATCACATAATTAAGGAGCTTGAGACAGAAAAAGAAATCAAAGCCAATGGAATGAACAGTTGGAATGAAGAAGATGCAAGTAGTGATTTTAGTTTTGCGGAGCTGGAGCAGATCTTTCCAGAAAGGAAACAAAACGGGATTCCGCCTCACAGAGACAGCCCTGCCATTTTCAATGGCCACACTCATAGCTCTAATGGTGCCTTAAAGATACAGGATTGCTGGGTGCCTGTAGGCAACAGTGTTGCCAGCAGGCTTTCTCCAGACTCTACCCAGAGGGAGGAGAAGGCTGAGAATAGCAGCACCGACTTCAGAGACTGCAGTGTGCAGCTGTTGCAACAAAGCACCAGGAACACAGATGCCGTGCGGAATCCACACAGAACTAATTCCTTCTCATTATCATCTTTGCACACTAACACTAAAATAAATGGTGCTCACTACTCCACTGTTCAGGGGCCTTCAAGCACAAAAAGCACTTCAGGACCTACTCTTAGCAAGGCAGCACCTTCAGTGCCATCCAGACCCTCAGACTGCAGTTTTATTTCAGACTTCTATTCTCGTTCAAGACTGCATCACATATCAACGTGGAAGTGTGAATTGACTGAGTTTGTCAATACCCTACAAAGACAAAGTAATGGTATCTTCCCAGGAAGGGAAAAGTTAAAAAAAATGAAAACAGGCAGGTCTGCCCTTGTTGTAACTGACACAGGTAGATACTAAAATTGTTTTCTTAATCAACGGCTTTTCTTGATCATTTTGTTCTTAAGCTATCATTGCTATGCTGATCAATACTAAGCTTAAAAGTCTTTGGCAACAGCAAGTTACATAGTTTACAGAAAGAATAATAACATTATAGAAAACTTATTTATTGGAATAATTTTTACAAAATTAGGTTTTAGTGTGGCTGATATTTTCTAGCTAATTTAAACAGTAACAAGGTTTTCAACATTCATTCATCATGTAGACCTTACCAGTTGTTTAAGTTTTGAACTATGTAAAAGATAACGTATTATATTGAGTGCTTAAAGTCCTGTAAGAATGAATTGGTTTGGTAAGAGTGACTGTTAGTTTCTAAAAGCTTGCATCATAATGATTTTTAAATAATTAAATAACTTTGACATAGTTGTTATAATTGTAGTGGTGAACTTTTAGAAGGATTAAGTATTTTCACATATAAGTAGATCGGTTAATTGTAATTTTTTTACTTATCAAAATAACAAAACCAAAAATAATAAGCTATATTTCTGTACCAGTTATTATAAATTAGTATCTGGTTTGAGGTTTTAGTTGCTTTTTACAGATTATACATCCCCTCCCGCCCCCAAGGGGAAGGGATCTCTGAGAACATCTACTACAGTGGGGCCTTGACTTAAGAGTTTAATTTGTTCTGAGACCGAGCTCGTAAAGGAGCTCATTAAGGAGCTTGTTAACTCAAATTACTCTGTCAACTCAATGCAAAAAATCAGCGGAGAGACAGCTGGTATCTCAAAAAACTCGTTAGTCGGGACACTCATAAGTCAAGGCCCCACTGTATTACCCTTTAATTTATAGCTGTGGAAACTGAGGTACAGAGAGAAGCTCATGGTTCTGCCCTAGAAAGTGAGGGAACTCTCTTCTTTTAATGTGTTTTGCTGGTTGATAGATTCTTAAATGCTTTTTGTTATTTCTGAAATATTTCAGAATAATGTTAGAGGTATTAGATTATCTTGACATCGTGCCTTGGCCTTGTAACCTAAAGGTCATTTAATTTTGAAAGCTTCAAAGAATTCATATGCATTAGTTACATGAATGGGAATAAAATGGGAAATTTTGTATGAAAGTACTCAATAGGTATTTGATGTATGCATTCTGTACTACTTGAATATTTAAAACCATTATTTTGGGTTGTTTACATTGTTTATATAATACTTTAATGCAGCAGAACTAATATTGTTAAGATTTATAAGTCAATTTTGAAGGTAATATAGAAGGTAGTAAGGAATTGTGTGGCTTTGGAGTTAGATAACATACTCTGACGCAAACCCTAACTCTTTTACTCTCATGAAGCAAGACCATGGGCACATCAGTTCCCCTCTCTGAGTCTCAGTTTCCTCCCTGCAGTGGAATGCTATTCCATCATGCTCACCTGGTGGGGTTGGGAACTTAAGAAAGATAACATGAACAAAGGCTCAGTGCCTTGCATATAGAACGGTGGTTCTCAACCTTCTGGCCCTTTAAATACAGTTCCTCATGTTGTGACCCAACCATAAAATAATTTTCGTGGCTACTTCATAACTGTAATGTTGCTACTGTTATGAATCGTAATGTAAATATCTGATATGCAGGATGGTCTTAGGCGACCCCTGTGAAAGGGTCGTTCGACCGCCAAAGGGGTTGCGACCCACAGGTTGAGAACCGCTGATACAGAACTAGGTAAATGCGTTGCAGTCAGAATTTAGTAAATGGAGTGGCCTGAACCTTTTGGGCAGTAGATGTAAGTTTTTGGAAGCCTGTTGTGAAGAGAAACCTTCAGTACTAGTATTCTTTAACCCACCAGAGGAAAACTCCTTTATGAGGCCAGAACTTTATATAATCTCAGGGGTCATATTTCCAAGGCTGTCCACCCTGAAGGGCTAGGGGAAAGGGTAGGGTGAGACTGATATGGAGGAAAGCTCTGGTTGTGGCTGGATTAGGGTTAAACTAACCCGATGGCCTCCCTGTTGCTCAGGATGATTAGAAGCCAGAGACCTTAGGAGAGAACACTCATATAAGCGTTAGAGCTGACTTTTGATAGTGTTTAAATGCATGAGGAGAATTTATACATAGATTTTGCTTCTTTAGTTATTTTTTTTAAGTGTGTCTGTTTAGAACAACTTTATCGTGGCTTGAGGGCTCTGAAATCACTGCATGGGATTGAGTGCCAGCTCAGTCTCTTACTGGCTGTGTGACTTAATAAGCAAGTTATTATCTGTAAAATAAGGATAATAAGATTGCCTGTCTCATAGTGTTGAAATTCTCACATGTAAACCTCCTACAACAGTGGTTGACACCTACCAAGCACTCATTAATAGCAGCAATTTTTATTTTATCAAAGAATGTTTGTAGGCTACATTTGAAGTTACTGAGCTCTATGCAACTAAGTATATGAAAACACCTTCATACAATTTTATAAAATAGCACACAGAAATGTTAAGCATTAGACAAACTGTTAATTTGAGACTTTATTAGAATATAAGCTAGGAAGAAAACATGGTATTTTCACAATTGATTTTAATTATTGGGAAGCTCAGTCTGTATCTGAACTACTTTTAGAGCTAAAGAAACTGAGATTTGCCTTTTCTTGAGGTGATAGAAATAATCTATAATAGATTCTATATTTTTTAAGACTCCTACTTGTAAGCACTTAAAAATATAATTTGTAAAATTAACTAGACCTGTTATTTTTATATTAAAAATTAGTTTGGGTTTTGAACATTCTCTTTTTCCTTCTAGGAAATATGTCAGTATTGAGTTCACCCAGACATCAGAGCTGTATAATGCATGTTGATATGGATTGCTTCTTTGTATCAGTGGGTATACGAAATAGGCCAGATCTCAAAGGTCTGTATTCTTTTTTATGTTTTCAGAAACTTCATATGTTATTATAAATATATATTCTAAGGATCACAAAATATCTGTTTTTAAATATATTTTTATTGATTTTAGAGAGGAAGGGAGAGGGAGAGAAAAATAGAAATATCAACCATGAGAGAAAATCATTGATTGGCTGCTTCCTGCACGCCCCCACCGGGGATCAAGCTTGCAGCCCGGGCATGTGCCCAGACTGGGAATGGAACCATGACCTCCTGGTTTATAGATCGATGCTCAACCACTGAGCCATGCTGGGCCATAAAATATTTTTTAAGAAGTATTTTTAATTTTCCTTGGCAGAATCAATTCTGCTTCTAAATTTTCTGGACTCTGTTATCATGAGAAATATGTTTTTCTGCCTATAGAAATCAGGTCTTTAGGGAAGAACTCTTCAACTGAAGGCTCTGTCGTCTTAGACTAATGTAGGCAGGGACCTGCGTTGGGCATTGTCCATATTTTTATTTATATTTACTATTACTTTGTTAGTAAATGGGAATTTTTATGGTAGCATATGTCTTTATGACTTGGGTTACTATACTTCCTCTTGAATAAATAACTATTCTGTACATAGTGAACATTCCAATTTTTTAATTGTAATTTTGTGTTACTGAATATCACTAAAACATGTTGTCATCTATGCAGTCTTTGTTTTAATTGAATTTCAGATATTTGTTAGCTAACCAGTACTTTAAAATATACTTATTCTGGATTTTTCAGTGGTTCCTTCTGTGTCTGAGAGATGTAACATTTTCTTCGGAGAGTCAGTTCTTCCCTTACGGACAGCACAGAGCTACTGGGATTAATACCAGAGCTTTATTTTTGTCACAAGTAGTTGCTCTTCACCTCTGAAAGGAGTATTTAAATGTTAAAAAATTGATTTAGCCCATTAGTGACTTCTTTATTATTGTTTATTAATTTTTGTTCTCACAACAAATGCGTCCAGTAAAATATGTGTGAAGTAATTATGCTGTAGCTTTAGAAGTTACAGTTATCTCATAACACACAACGCAGAAGTGATACTGAAACATTTTTATAAATAAACCAAAATAGGACTATATACTGAACATTTGATTAAATAGTAGGTGAGGTTGTGATTCCTCTGCATATATGTTGTGTCTCTTGCTGTGAAATAGTTTTGTTTAGGTATTGCTCTATTTTTCTGATACCGGAAATATTAAAAATCTAGATTAGTTAGTTCCTTCTCTCCTTAGCCCCTCCAGTCTGAACCTAGGATCTGAGTTGCCTGTTTTCCAACTGTAAGAAACCAAACAAAAACCATGGAAAGCTAGGTGATAATGTTGTTTTAAAGTTGAATAAATGCATCCAAATTGTCAGGAGTTTACTTTTTTGGGGTGTGCTGAGAAACTTAAATGATTTGTACATGGTGATTGATAATATTCAAAGATAATAATAGCTCCTTTATGGATTAATGCCTAAATAAAGCTAAAGAAAAAATGTCATGTTTTTTAAATCTTTTGAAAATTTTTCCTTTACATATTAGTGTTCTTAACTTCCCTGTACTTAGATTTTAAAATAATTTTATTCTTTTCCTCCCAGGAAAACCCGTGGCTGTTACAAGTAACAGAGGCACAGGAAGGGCACCTCTGCGTCCTGGAGCTAACCCCCAGTTGGAGTGGCAGTATTACCAGAATAAAATCCTGAAAGGCAAAGCAGGTACAAATCATGAGCTCTCTTTGAAGTCATTGTGCTCCTGTTGAAGATTTCTGGCTTTTGCTGTTGGTATTGTCGTTACAGCAGCAAAAGCAGTTGAATTAATTAGCTTTTTCATTCAAGTGTTCTAAGGTGTCAGTGATACCTTAAAGCAAAATTGAAATGTAATAATATCTACGACTGATTTATAGTTTCGCTTGGTTGAATTGGATGATGATATTTTCCTGGGACAGAGAGTGAAAAATGTTTTAAAAGTTGTGATTAGTTTGCTTTGTATAAATTTAGATTGGGGATAAAAATCATGGGCATTATTTTGTGGAAGCTTCTAGACTCGCAAGTTAATTGCTAGTTGTTTGATCACTGATTACAGTAAAGACGCTAAAGTTTATGCTGCTAAAGACTTGTATGAGGCAGTGGAGTAATATAGAGTAGGACTTTAGTTTACTGAAATAAGAAGATAAATATCAGCAATCATTCCTCATATCTTTGTTGAACCTATTTCATATTAGAAACATTTTCTTATCTCGCTGGCTTTTAAATTTTGGCTATTAATAAAATAAAAATCATAAATTTATCAAAATACTATTAAGATTTTCTTGTGGGTTTTTTTTTCTCCTGAGTATATTCCCTGAGAAGTATTTGCTTAGACATTAAATTCTTTAACATTAATCAGTTTCTTCGTGGATGTTTGCAAAGCCAAAAAATGTTTTAGTTTGTCAAAAAATTTTTTGTCAGAAAAATGCTAATGAGAAAGTAGTCAGAAATTAGCTGTACAGTGGAATGGAAACTGTGCAGTTAAATTTCATCCCAATTATTTCAGGTCCCTAAATTTTCAGTTATGAAACCTTAGGTTTGTTTTAGCAGTGATCTCAATGAAATTAAGGCCATAGGAAAGCTAGTTGACATCACTAAAGCCTTTTTTTTGGATTAATCTTTTTGTTGGTTGTGATGATCTGTTTACATGGTACAGGTATAAAAGAAAATAATTGTAGATACATACTAATACATCTTTATGCTTCATGTGTGTCTGTACTTTCCAGATTACCTAAAGCTTTTCTCGGTCTTTAAATCTTTTAAGAGATTTTTAAGGTTCTAATATTTTGAGTGTCACGAGTAGATATTGAGGTAGTGAATATTTTGAGCTTATTGAGATTTAGTTGTATTGTGGTATTTGACAATATGGGCAGTTTCATAAGTATTGGTCGTATGGTTTTGCGGTTTTCTTTCTGTATTTTCTGTGTGGTATTAGAAACCAAGTAGCTTAAGGAAATGCACAACACTTGTCACATATTGGACATTAGTAAAAACTTACTGAATGAACGTTGAAAGAAGGAGAAAATATTATGTGCATACTAGTCAGTAACATCTCTCAGGTACTCAGTGCTCAGTTTCTGGGTAAAAATGTGTTTGCCACACGCATTCTTATTTCCACAGTTTGCATCTGGAATTTTGACCTTGTCAAGCAAGCTTTTCTTAGGAGTAGCTGAGAGCCAGTCCTCTTACTCTTTCCTTTCATTCACAAATGATCTGACCATAAACAGTTTGTTAACAAAACTTACTGTTATTGGTCTTCATCAGTTTAGCCACTGTATTTTCATGACATTGTAATGACCTTTTCTAATTCACATCCCTCCACCTCTTGTGTGGATGGTAAACTGGAAGGTAAATATTAGGAGAAATATTGAAATTTCACTTGCCTTTGAAAACTGTCAAAAATAGATTTTTTTGTCACTAGAAGAGATGAATATGATACTTTGTACTTTATATTCTTTCTCTTAACTTCATGTCATTCACTTTTGTGTTCTAAGCCTTTTGACCCAGTAAGAGCTTACCAAAATATTTGTCACATATAAAATGGATAGATTGCCCTTTATTATAAAGTTTGGTTGCAACTAAGTTTGCACTTAGAACTTGTTACTTAGGACTTGTTTTATCAATGCCCTTGTTCCTCTTTCCTTTTTATTTCCTATCTTTCTCTGGGTCCTTATTAGATATGATACCAAATTGTAAAATTTTGAGGATAAAGTTAGGAATTAGAATCTTTGGCTTCTGCACACTAACCTTAAAAATAAATTCATTTCTAATGTTTTGACTTGTATGTCTAGGTAGAGTATTAGACCAAGTAGCATCTTTAGCCCTTTGTAAAAGCTTTATTTTCTTATTGGTCATATTCAGAAACTCTTGTCTAACAGTGTAAACAGGACTCTCCATCGTGGCTTCCTTTGGTTAGCTGCCTCCTGAGCGGTGCTCAGCGATGCCACTTCTCATTGATGACCCTCATTATCTGGAATCCCTTTATACTTGAGATATCATGGTTGGGCCTTTTTATCCCTCCCGGGATTCCGTGCTGCAGTGTTTCCTGTCCTTTCAACAACTTCAGTGTTCATTCTAAAGAACAACAGTTTTAAAATTCGTACTAGCCATAGATTTATTCTCAGCGATTTCTTTTTCACAGACTTGGGTCCTGGCCTCTGATTTCTCCAACCGTTCCTCCACATTCTCCATGTGCCCGTCTAGTTTGTCAAGTTTTGATGAGCAGTTCTCTACTTTGCCCTCCAGTGAGGACAGTGTGTCCCTGCATTTCCCCGAATCTCCCTTGAAGCAACTCACTCCGCTGGTGGAGGGATCCACGCACTCTGCTGCACTGTGGAAAAGGTCAGCCAGCCCAGCCAAGGGGAACCCCAGGCGCTGCCTCTCAGGCAGGGCCTTGGGAGCGCAGGGACCTCAGATACTGTTCTCACCTTAAGCATGGTTTCTGTAATTCTTAAGACGGGTATCTTAGACTATTTAACTAGCCTTTCAAATATAAGTCATCTAACTCCCCAACTTTTAATGCATAACTCATGGTTATACATTTGAAAAGCAGCTGGTTGTGGCTGTTCAAGCTTCAACTTTTTGTTATTGTTGTTTAGTTGTAGCCTCTTGAACTGTGATATAATCCTGAAATTCTCAAGGATTTTCAGCTTAGAGTAATGGACTATTAAAGCTGCTATGTAGTCTTCTAAGACGCTTCAGAAGTAGTCTGTTTTGCATTCTGTCCTTAATTTGTCATACTCTAACACATATTAGTCACAATATATCAGAAATCATAGCTCTAATTATATACTCTGCTGTTTTTATTTTTTATGTAAGTGGGATATGACCTCATTAAGATGCCAGTCCTCAGAGTTTGGTTTGCATTTATGCTTTGCGTGTATGGGTGCCGAATCCAGAAATGCTTATATGGGTTGCATAGTTTGTAAAAAGATGTTGACTACTGGAGTCAAACCAGGAACAGTTGTTTTAGCCCAGAAAGCCAGACACCTAGCCATGTTTTTCTGGTAGTGCTTTAACTTGGCTGATTTTTTTATGGAAATTATGTCTCTGAAAAAAGTCGAAGAGAAATGCTGAGTTTTGAGTTGCGTTGCTACAATATACTCAGAATAGGTTTGTCTAGAATTAGCTGAAGTGGTGTATATTGGTCTGGTTTTACTAACTAATGGTATTTTTGTTCATAATAGAACTATAGCTGAGACTGTTTTTAGAATTACGTTTTTAAAGCATATTCTTCTTGGAGCCTATAGCATTATCCAAGACTGTAACTGAAGCTGTGTTTTCATCTGTTTCTCAGTTATGAGGGAGGCTGAAGGTGGTCCAAAGGAAGTGAAGTGCCTGTAGTTCGCAGACTCTTATACTTGTGTGTGAAGCAGGCAGTTTGGTTTGGATAGGAAGAGATACTGGTGAGCTGTACTGTTTAGGCTAGAGTTGCCTTCCATGAAGCAGTTGGTATTCTGACCACACTTAATGTTTAATTGAACCTGCATTGTTAAATCAAAAGTAGAATTTTCTGGAGGGGGGATAATGTGAAGCTCTTTTACCTGACATATGTTCAAAAGAAAAGTCTTAAATTTAGGGTGAAATTTTTTATGGTATATGACCTACTAAATTATTGTTTGATCAAATGACTTGTAGGAATTTGATCTTTGTTGAACATGTTAATTAGTTTTAAGTACTGCAGTTCTTTTAGGAAACAGCAAAGAACATTTAGAGTGGTTTATATTTTCCCTTAACTGTTTCCCTTGAGAGAGCACTACTTAATCCTCTGAGGCTATAGGAGGGGTTCATCATCCTGATCACCTTTCATCCTTGTCCATCCAAGAGACTGGGTTCAGGGGATATTTCATATTTAGCTTTTGATCATTTTTTCCAAAGTATTATTAAAACAGAATACTTTCCATTTATTCCAAGTTTTTATCGGTCTGCTAGTAGAAAACTTAATGGAAACAAACCATTTTAGAATTACAGATTTCCTTTTATTAAATAAGATAAATACCAATGGGGATAAACTATATTTGGAGGTTGCTCAACTTATATATACATTTATTTTTTATTTATAAATTTATTTGTATAAGAAAGGAATGAAAAATACATTTCTTGAATGGAAGTTAAGGAAAACCAGTTTTTAACATATAATCATTAAATTTTATTATTTTTAAAGCAGATATACCAGATTCATCACTGTGGGAGAATCAAGATTCTGCGCATACTAATGGAATTGATTCTGTTTTGTCGAAGGCTGAAATTGCATCTTGCAGTTATGAAGCCAGGTATGTGAAAATTAACTGTGTTATAATATTTAGGAATGGTTAATTGTACTTAATTATTTTCATATAATCTTTGGAAGTGGATTCAGACATGCTAGTCAGGCCTGTGATTTAAAAATATACAGACATGTATGGAAAGAAATGTTTCTAGCCTTAATTTCTGGCAGGGATATTTCTTTTTTAGTGTAGACATTCATCACTATAAACTTACCCCTTATTTCTATAGAGTAGACCACTAGGGTATAATTCAGTGATGGCGAACCTATGACACGCGTGTCAGAGGTGACACGTGAACTCATTTTTTTGGTTGATTTTTCTTTGTTAAATGGCATTTAAATATATAAAATAAATATCAAAAATATAAGTCTTTGTTTTACTATGGTTGCAAATATCAAAAAATTTCTATATGTGACACGGCAACAGAGTTAAGTTAGGGTTTTTCAAAATGCTGACACACCGAGCTCAAAAGGTTCGCCATAGGATATATTTTTCCCATTGATTTTTTTTTTTTTTTTTAGAGAGAGAGAGTGGAAGGAAAGGGGAGACACAGAGAAACATCAATTGGTTGCTTCCCTTACATGCCCCAATCAGGCATGTACCGAGGTACATGCCCTTGACTGGAATCGAACCTGTGACCATTCAGTCCACGGGCCGACGCTCTGAGGAAAAACAGCTAGGGCTGTAGAAAACTTTTGATAGTTTCCTGAGGAACCCGTAAGTTCTACAGTGGAAATCAAAAGAAATTGGACACTAATTTTTTAAACCATTGTCTTCTGAAGCATGGAATTAAAGAATTAGATACTTTTGAATGGGAGAGGCTGTAGTGTTCATCTACTCTAATCATTCCTTTAACAGCTAAGAAAAATCCTTTATGATATTAACCCTTAATACTCAGTTTCTTTTAAAAATTATGTTAAAACTTGATTGCCTATTAAGTTAAAAGTAAATAATTCCATACTGGCCTACCCAATAATCTCACTTATAATTGCAGTGTTGTCCACTTGTTAGCACCAGCTTTGTGGATCTTTATCTTATAGTAAGCTTATACCTTAATTACTGTTGGCTGTCTCAATATAAGAAGAAACAGACATATTATATATATATGTTTCTCATACTTAAAAAAAATCAGTCATTTAAAAATAATCTGTTATAATAGTTGTGAAAGTAGAAGGAGTAACAATGAATTAATTAAAAAGAGCAGTCTTTTTTTTTTTTCTTACAACTAAACACGGACATTTTTACCTTTATAACAGCAGGCATTTACACATTGTTGGCAAGTGTTAAAGTATTTAATTTAAAATTTATAAAAACAGTCTTACATCAATTATATTTTTCAGTATTTTATTAGTTGTTTTTTTTTTGAGAAGAGAAGTAGGTAGCATCTTGTGGCTTTGTCATTCATACTTTGAAAAAAATTGAGATATAATTTCAGGTATACATAATGATTCGATATATGTAACATATTTCAGTCTCAATTAAAAGTTGGGGTTATTTAAGCAAGTCTGATCTGAACAAAAATTTTCAAAATAGTTTAAATAAACCAAAATAGTTTATTTAAAATTTTCCAATTGTTTTATAAGAGGATATTTAAGGAAAAAGCATCATCTGTGTATAATTATAAAATATTTTAAAGTATTTTCCACTTCTGACATGTCAAACTTTTACTCCTAAACTAACTTTGCCTTTGATGACAAAATTGTTTTCTTTCATTGTTTGTTGATAATGTAACTGAGTTAAAACTTACTTTAGTAAAAAAATAATTGTCAACTACCTTTGCCTTTTGGACTAGTCTATTTGTTAGCACAGGCAAGTTAGAGCTGATCTCATGTTGTGCCCAATAGGCTGGTGTTTTTCTCCCCGACTGAGTTATTGAACAGTGACTTGTGCTTCTGATGGCTGACAGTTGTGTCCCAGATCTGGAGGGTGTGATGAAGCCCAGATACTCTCTCAGACTTTGGGTTTTGCTGGTTGATGAAGTGAAAGCTCCACCTTTCTGTGCTCCTCTTTAGGATCTCTCTTCTCACTCTGTGCCCCCAAGCTGAATGCTGGATTGGCTGCTGAGGTTGCCTCCAAAGTAGAAGTGTTCCAGCTCCTGGTGGGTCTGGATCTCCAGAGCCACACTTGTGTCTAGATTCCAGGCTTCTGTTGGGGTTTGGATGGTGCACCTGTATCACAGATGGTGGTTGTCAAGCTGAGTTATTACAGAACAATTGGGCTGATGGTGTATGAGGGCCAAATGGTATGTAGCAAGCCATTTAAATGCCACTTAAATGGCAGATGTTTATTTTAAGGAGATGCAGAAATGATGAACATGAATTTGAGTTTAAGTTGGGGAAAAACCCACAAAAACCACAGTAGTGGAGTTTTGGTCTTTTAATTGTAATTTTCCATTTTCTAGATGGCTCATTGCTAATGAAGGTCTCCAGAAAACAATTTTTGGATACCCTTTTGTTGTGGCTATCGAATAGTTATATTTTCTTTAAGTGGGAAGATTTTTAAAATAATATATTCACAATTATATCAGAGATATTTCTAGGTTGGGAGTGGAGACTGGACTTGTGGGGATGGTTAGCCCAGCTTTGTGCATTGATGAGTTTTCAGTAGACAGATTAATAATGGAGTTAGCAAAGGATGGAATGTGAACACCAGCTGGTGGAAGTCACAGAAAGGAGGCTGTGTAAATGTAGGTCAGAATATGCATTATTGTTAGTAGTTTTACCCATACTTACTGAAAGAACACGCTTTGTCTATAAGTGAGAAGGTAGATATGTAGATGAATAGATAATATACAGATATCCTAAAATCATAGATTTTTAAGATCAGATAATTTTTAAACCTGCTTTTATGGGCTTTTGTAAGGACCTTTTGCTCTTCTCAGCAACATAGATGTCTTTTGTATACTAAATGGACCATGGAAATGACTTAGTGGTTAATTTTTTTTATGTTGTTTATCCAACATCAAAAATAATTGTCTGAGCGTAGCATGTGACCAGAAAGAGCTTGATCTCTGCTGCGTGAACTGGGAACAGCTGTTTCTGCCACACACACTCGGGAAGTATTGGTGTGTACCCTGCATGGGACTTTAGCGGGAGGAATAAGAAAGAAGTCACTGTATTGGAGAATAACATTAGACTGTTTCGTAATTGTCTACTCAGTTATTCTACGTGAAACAAATCTCATTTCTCAACCATCTACTCAAGGTATTTTGCTTCCCTTGGTTATGGAAACCTCTTGGTTTTCCTTTTTTGTTTGTAGCGTCCTTACAGTGGCTCCTAAACACTTGTCTCAGGATGTGCATATGCATGAGTACATGAGGAGATGTATTCTATTTTTCTAAGTAATATGCCCTGAACATTTTTGTATAAGTGAAAATTTTGAAAAGGAAATTATTGTAAATCTAAGACTATGATGTTTATAGGAATTATGTAACACATTTCTTTAAAAATGAATAATTACTTTTGTAAGTTTAGCTTTTACATGTTGAACCTATATACCTAGCATTGGAAATATTTTACACTATTGGGTAAAATATGTAGATTTCTAAATATTATGGCAAAAGTAGGTTTACAGGTGTTCATATGGAAAATATTACAATAAGTGATAATAATACGAGAATAAACTTGTTTCATGTACTCACAACTGGACACCTACTTTTTGTTTTTAATATATTTTTATTGATTTCAGAGAGGAAGGGAGAGGGAGATAGAAATATCAACGATGAGAGAGAATCATTGATCAACTGCCTCCTGCACGCCCCCTCACCGGGAATGGAGCCCGCAGGCGGGGCTGTACACCTACTTTTGCCCCACCCCTGTATATATACTGCCCAGCGTACTAATGAAGGCCCATTGATTATATCCATTCTTGGGGGGATGAAGGCAGACATCCTCATGATCATCCTGAGGCTAGTTTTATTCACGTTTCTTATCTACCACCTCCCAAAATGCCTGAGACATAAAATTTTGTGGAATGAATAAAATAATTTGTTTTACCTTCTGTTTTGTCTGTCATCACTTCCTTTATGGTCATTTTTTCTTTCTGTTAGATCTTTCTCATTTATTAGGGGCTTTGCAGTTAGATAATTATAACTGTTTTTGTAAATATGAGAAATGCATGTAATTTTGCATTTTTTTCTGAGTAAGTTGGAGGATTCTTTTTTTTTCTTGGCTCTCACTGTTGGTCTCAGATGGGAGGATGCCAGAGGCCTCTCAGTAATTAAAGACTATGTTTCTTAAAACAGAGCACACTCCATACTAAGAAAGCACTTAGTAAGTATTTATTGAATGTATGTATAGAATAACCACTTGATGTATTTCCATAGGAGTATATAATCTTGTGAAAACATTGCTCATTATTTTGCTTGTGTTTTTACCTTTTTTTCTTGATTCATTAGAGAGTAGTAAAATGGAATTTTACTAATTATGTTTAAGTCCACAGTTATACTTTTGTGCTGAATGCTCCAGATATCAAAGGTAATGTGGGGCATTGAGGCACACAACAAGATGTAAAATTTACCATTTTCAATTAGATCCCTCAAAGTGCTAGAACCCTGGCTCCTGCCAAGACTGATGTCCTGCCATACACAGTGCTGTTGGCATCTCAGCCACTGTGGAGGCGCCTGCGGAGCATGGAATTGGTCAGTGGGAACCAGGAGGTAGTAGGATGGGTACATTTTGTCTGCTTGTCACATAGCACTGCTTTGTATAGTCTTTTGTTTATATTTTGTCTTTGGGGGATGAGTCCTGGCCAAATGGTTCCTGTGTCAGGAAGAAAGCCTCTCTTGGATTCCTGCTCCCTGTGGTTGAGATATCTCTAGTACATGGAGCTGGCGTCTACAAAGGGGCCAAAGATGTGAGTCTTAGGAGAAATCTTCCATTGCAGGCAGGAGGCAAACATTGTGATAACATATTTTGGCACATCTGCATGTGTCATTCACACTAATCAGACAATTGTGGAATTCTCCTTTGGGAGGAAGACAAACCTGTAAGGTTTTTTATGTTTATTTTTATCCCTAATGAGAATGGAGTTAAATGAAAATTAGTATATTAGTGGTTTGGGATATGGTATCACGTATTTGATACTTTATTTTGCATTTAATATTTTTTAGTATAACTTCCATAATGTCTTTTTTTTTTTCTCTCTCTAGACAAGTTGGTATTAAGAATGGAATGTTTTTTGGGTACGCTAAACAACTTTGTCCTAATCTTCAAGCTGTTCCATATGATTTTCATGCATATAAGGAAGTTGCACGCACGATGTATGAGACATTGGCAAGGTATAGTATGTGATATCGTCACTGTGTGTCTGTCCTGCTTCTTCTGTCTGATATTAAAGAGTCCTGTTGCTTTCAGATGATCAGAGTTGCTTTTTTTTTTCTTAATATATTTTTATTGATTTCAGAGATGAAGGGAGACTCCAGGAGAAAGAGATAGAAACATCAATCATGAGAGAGAATCATTGATTGGCTGCCTCCTGCACTCCCCCTACTGGAGATGGATCCCGCAACCAGGGCATGTGCCCTGACTGGGAATGGGACCGTGACCTCCTGGTTCATAGGTCGACGCTCACCCACTGAACCATGCTGCAGGGCTGTTCGTTGCTTTTGCTAGACTTTTTTTCTCTCAGGAACCCTTTCCTCAGCATTCCAGTATGGCAGCCTGTCCTCCTTTCTTTGAGCAGATCCAGTAATTGGTAGTTCCATCTTTTTGTGCTGCTGAACTTGGCCAGAATCTGATTTTATATATATACTAGAGGTTGGCCCTTGCAGCCCTGGCTTCGTCTGGAAAGATGTCCAGTCTAATTAGCATATTACGCTTTTATTAGTATAGATAACTTGTAGTCAGTGGTTCTAGTTTTCTTTCCATGCAACCAGACAAATGAAGGATAGGAAGTTTTAACCCCTTGAGTGCCGGGGAGCACGATCACGCTCCTCCTGTCTTTCGCCAAAGTGCCCAGAGCGCTATCAAAGCTTCGAAATGGCGTCCAGTTC